GAAGAAGTCTCTTGGAGGAGAGACGAAACGTTTCATTAAAGAAGAACCCGTCCAGAAGACCTATACAATTATTTTTCTTTTTGATTTTTTACCTGGATTACTGAGATGCATCATTCAGGACATATTTTTGCCAATATTTTTTTTTATTATAAGAATTTACTTTGTGATAATATTGCCCTTACAATAAATAGAAAGTCTCTGTTTACATCAAACACCTGTCCCGGGGGGACAAATTTGTAAAGAAAAAATTAGTATAATTCTTGAACTGAAGTCAGGGGCCACACAAATTCAGTTTAGGGGCCACAAATGGCCCCCGGGCCATACTTTCGACATCCCTGTTCTAGAGGCTAAGGTTCTCCACTCTGTTATGGTGAATGGCCTGAACTTATATACTTTATCAAGTCCTTATAGACTCCAAAGTGCTTTACACTTAGTCATTCACCCATTCAGACACACATTCACACACTGAAGGTGGTAAGCTACATTGTAGCCACAGCTGCCCTGAGGCAGACTGATAGAGGCATATACTGGCGCTACCGMGTAGCAATTTTATGTTCAGGTGACCTCGCATGGTTTGATTAMTCTCTTTTTGCCTGTTTTCACGTGCCAGGCGCTCTATAAAGTAGGTCATTTGTCCTAATAAATGCCTTGACTGCCTATGGTCCTGCTTTAATAGTTGAACATCAAGCAGGAGCTGAAGCTTTCTGACCCAGCAGTCCATTCAAAGAAGGACAAAAAGGCAATCAAAGACCTGAGTGTGTGCCCGAAGAAGAAAAAAAGGAAGCAACGCTCACCAGCTAAAGTACAAAATACATTTTTATCTCAGCAATTATGTTTGTTGTCTTTCCTTTTTTTTAATCAATTTGCAAATATATAAATGAAGCTAATACTTTGTTTTTTTGCTGTTATAGATTCTCAGCCTGGATGATGATGGCTCTGTGACCATCCCAAACCCCAAGTGTCACGTTTGCATCCACTGTAATGCTGCGTTTAGAACAAATTACCACCTACAGAGGCATGTCTTTATTCACACCGGTATGAAGTACATTAATCTTATTTGAAAAAATGGCATTGTATATAAAAATATGCTTCAAAATTATACATTTTGACAATATTTCATTTGAAAATGAGATTTTGTCTTTACGTTTGTGTTTTCCAAACTCTAGGTGAGAAGCCTTTTCAGTGCAGCCAGTGTGACATGCGCTTCATTCAGAAATATCTCCTTCAGAGACATGAGAAGATTCACACAGGTGGGTGACAAAAAGTGTTGAAGTCTTGGCGTATTAGATTTAGCCTCATTTATGCCTTTTTTTTTAATTCAGGTGAGAAGCCTTTTCGCTGTGATGAGTGTGGGATGKGGTTTATCCAGAAGTATCACATGGAGAGACACAAGAGGACTCACAGTGGAGAAAAGCCTTACCAATGTGACTACTGTCACCAGGTATGTTCCTTTTGCTTATGTGAAAATTAGTGTGACAATATATCGTAATTATATGATTGGCATCAAAGCAGTCCATTAGACTGAAACCCAGTAAACAAAAAATAAAAAAATGCACTTTTAGTTGTAGTTTCCTTGTTATTCTTACKCTTTAGAAACAAACACCATGTATAAAGTCAGACATACTTGTGTTTAATTCATTGGGGTCAATGTTTGGGACAGCCTATATACTGTAATTACATTGTGAAATTATATCTATAGTATATTTTTTGTACTTGTCTGTTTACAGCAGTATTATATCAGTAATGTGATTTGAGAATTATTACTGGAAAACATTGTCGTAACCCATCAAATTCATTATTTTGTAAATTGAAAATATTGAAGTTCTTTGATTTGGTTGATTATGATAATAATAATACTGGTTATGTATAAGGCCCACAAAAATGCATTACCTTTAAACATTCAAGTACATTTTGTTAAGAGAAAGACTTATTATAACCTTAAAGGGACAGAGATAT